TTAACAGGTCATTAAACTTAGTACACACACACGCTACTACCCCGCCCCCCCCTAGCGTTAAATTTGAGGACCAGTCAAAAGGTTTGCCCACACCTGGGTCACCTGGGTCAACCTCGACACCCCCACTCCGACCTCAGCCCCTCCCTCCCCCTGTATTACTAATTAGTGAGTTAGTCAAAAGCTTTGAGCTGTATTCAGCACGGACTCCCTGTGGTCTGAAAACAACAGCTCAGCGTCCACGTCCTGTGCTGCCGACACGGGAGAAGCTGTGAGAAACAGCAGCTTCATACCTGAGAGTTTTATATTTAAAAGTGTGAAACTGCAACTGTGAAAATGAAGGGAAGGTTGAAAAATTGGATTAAAAAAAAAAAACTAAAAAAACACATGCTCCTGCACAAAGAGTTAACTGCTTCATTTCCTGTGCGAGATGTTAATCCTCCTTTTTTTTTTTTTTCTCCAGTCCACCACCAACACCACCTAAAAGCCGTGGTACAATTATAGCTTTTATGAGTGTGAGAAATGTGTGTTATAATCCCAGGCTGAATGGTGATTTCAGCACCAGAGGCGTGGACAGCTCCACACATCTGGCCCAATGCCACCCACTGACTCTGAGTCTCAAATGAAAAAAACAAAACAAAACACAATTATACGGTGGGAAGCTGCTGTTAAATACTGTGTTTTTATGTAAAATAATTCAATCAGTATAATTAATTTTTTAAACTTTTGACTTTTGTTTTGTAAGAAAGCTAGAATGAAGGAATGGAATAACTAAGAGAAGGGAGGAAAAAAATAAAATCACATTAAACTCCATCAAATTAAATGGTAAAAAACTGCTCTAATGGGACAGTGTCATTATGTTGATTTTGCTGTTAGCAAGCAAGCTACAAAATTCATTGTGACGTTTAAACCTTGATTTTTGTAGAAAAAAAATTACAGCAATGTCAAAATATGTTCTGAGAAAAAAAACTGTCAGTTTTGATGCATTTGTTTATTATGGTCTTGTCAAGGACACTGAGGTGCAACATGTGGCTCAGGGGCCATAAGGTGCACACCTATCTTACCTCAGTTTTAGCTGCTATGAAGCCTGGTGGTGGCATTATGTTTTTGCTTCGGCGGTATCTGTGGTATTAGTCAGAAAGAAAAGTTCTGGATGTGTCCAGTAGGGGGCTGAGGAGGAAGAAGAAAAATCCTACATTTAGTGACTGCCATGTACGTAACATAAACTTAAATCAGCAAAAAAATAAATAAATAAAATCAAAGTGAATGAGTTAGAGCTGAGATGTAAATAAAATGGAAAAACCTGCAGTTTGACCTGAAGAGGGCAGCATGGAGAAATCTTACCAATTTGAAACATTTATAAGCAAAATTTCAAAACTTAAGTCGGGCTATGTTGACAGATTCCTTCCCAAAAAAAACAACAAAAAAACAGATAAAGTTCGTGTAATGAAAACCAAAGTTTGAGAAACTTCAATTTTAACTTTTCTCACCGAAAAAAACCAAACATTTTTTTCTCCGTCAAATTCAAACAGTACAGATTGAACTGAGGATGTAAAGAGAGGAGAGCGAACCAGACACGAGTGATGACAGCATGAGGAACGGGAAGGCCAGGATGAATCATGGGTTTCATCCATTTTTTTTGGTCAAATTCCCAAATTACTTGCGAGCGAATCGCCCTGGGACGTGTCAGTGACAGGCGCCTCCTGCTGGCAGGGTGTGAGGTGTCAAAAATCAAACACTGGAGCGCAGCCAGGACTGTGTATTTACATACCCCCCACCCCCACCTCGTCATGTCCTCACACAGGGATACATGCATACACCCACACTCACACACACACACACACACACACACGGTGTTACACAGCACATACAGTCTGTAGCCATGAGAGAAAATTCAGCGCTAACAGGTGTTCAAACAGGCCGCTCGCTACGTTCGTCCAATTATTGCAATTAGATGCTGCGGGGGGGGGGGCTGAGGGGGGACAGCGAGAGAGAGAGAGAGAGAGAGAGAGAGAGAGAGAGAGAGAGAGAGAGTTCTAATGCTCCGATTGTTTCCTTTTACAGAGGATGAAAAGCAGAAGCCTTAAAAATAATTAATTATGTCTAATTGATTGAACCTGCTCTGGGGGGGGGTGAGGGGGGTATTAATCCCCCATCTGCCCCGGGGAGTCATCAGCAGATTTAGTAGATTGTCAGATAAAAACTGTAGTTTTTTTTTTTTTTCCCCCCAGCAGCAGCAGATCAGTGCGATGGACTTGAAGTGCTGGGTACTCAAGATGTGGCGCTGGGCCTTAACATGTACGAAAAAAAAAAAAACAAATCCCCGTAAATGTGAGCTGCAGCTCAGGTGACGACTGTGGAACTTTTAGCAGTTGGCTAACCTTTAGCTCCATTTTTTCTAAGCTGTAAACTTGTAAAGATTAGTTTTCTATATTTTTACCTTTTTGAATTTTTAATAATAAATTCACTTTTAGCATTTAGCAACTTTAGCCCCTCCTCCTCAGTCCTCAACTTACTCTCTCTGCCCCCCCCCCCGTTTTGGTAAAAACACTGGTTTATCCTACGGACTCTAATGCTTCTGTGCCTGCGCGGTTTTTACTATTTCTGATATTTATTTGAGGTTTTCGGCCAATCGTTACTAGCTTTAGCAACTTAGCTTTTTGGAGGATTTTTTCGTACATACATATACGTGCATTTATATTTATATATTGTAGTTATTTTCTAAAGACCTAAAATGTCTTGACGATTGTTTTTTATTATTATTATTGTTGTTATTACATAAAGTAGAGAAAAGTATCTGTGGGTCGACTGTCATTACCACCGTCAGCAG